CAGTTTTCTGCGCGGCGAGCATTGCACTCCGCAGCGGCCGTTCGCAGTCCATTGTTGCCCCCGAAAATGTCAACGGGACGTCGCTTAAAGGGACACCTTTACCAGACGAATCGGATTATCGGATTACCGATGTGGAAGCGGGAGAGTCCTCGAGAGGGTGCTCGAGAGCGCGGCGCGGACGACGTGCAAAATATTGACAGGTGTCAACTGCGCTCGCCATCGGCGGGCAGAGCCGCATAAAAGAGCTCGAGGACGTTGGTTCTGTCACGACATATGCACACACGCATGCGTGTTCTCCTCCGATTCTCACTCTCGTGTCACGATCCTCGGCGATATAATACATACATAATAGATCAGCCACTTCAAGAAATACTATTTAGGTAAAGATTCTTTGTGACCACTTTCCGCATACGTGTGCGGCACGGTGCATTATTCGGTTCGGGTGATAATTAGGGATGGACAGACGTTACTTGATTATTTAAACACGACACGGATTTAAACGACCGGACAACCGCTGGTTCTTTTCGGAATCTCCCGGAGGAAAGTGGCAACAACCGTCGACAGTGTCTTGCCACACGTACAACCCTTTAGGGGTGTAGCCCTCCAGATGGGAGGTTTCCTTCGGCGAGGTTAGCAGCCTATCGAACATGAAGTAAACCTAATGCTCAAAGTACCAGAACGAGAACTGGGTAAAACAGGCTTTAAGCCTAATACACGAGGGAGAAGATTTTTTAAATGTTTAAAAGATTGCGGAGACACAGAGAGAGAGGCGGAAGTAGTCCGCTGGTAAGAAAGATATTATGTCAACGAAGAAAGCGACGGGGCGCGGCGCGGAGTCGTACGTGAATTAGTAACTCCGGTTCCAGGGATATTCCAGGCTTCGTCGATCGAAGCATTAATTATTAATGACGCACCGGAATCGATCGGTAGAAAGACAGTGCTGCTGCATCGCGCCGCGTACGCTCGTAGCGTGACACGTTTGCCGGCTTCCCTTCGGATTCGCGTCCTTTCAATGTAGCGTGCCGACGTATAACTTTACGAAGAAAATTCTCTCCGAGTTTTGTACGTAGTTTCATGTATAGCCTCGACGTGACGAAGGTTCAACGTGTGCCGTTTTGCGTGTAGCCGCCTTTATTATGCATGACATTGGAGCGGTAAGAAAGTAACATATCTTTATACTGCTAAACACATGCATTATGTATCGCGTTCTCCTCTTCCTTCCTCTGATAGGTATCATAGCTGTATAGATTTATTTGACGATTTCTCGCTCGCGAAAACTTGCCGTGCATTTCTTCCTTTTTTTTTATACACCGCATCGACATTAAATAACGCGACGCTACGCTCGAGATACGAGGCGTTGAGAAGAAGAAAGAAGAAGTTGAAGAGCTTACGATCGAAGCACCGCGCGTCATATCGAAACTAGATGTGGAGGGTTGTTGACATTCTTATCCAATCGACCCTCCCGAGGAAAAAGAGGGAGGTACGCGTGTGCGTGTAAACGACGAGTTAGCGTTGCACGACAGCGAGCTCGCTCGCCTCTATATTCCTCTCGTCGCGCTAAGTCGAGCGTATTAATCGACGCGCGGCGCGGCCGTCCCATTCACCGGTGCGCGCCGTCGTGGAGTTTCACGGCCCTTTAAGGACAACCCCCATTGACGACGCGAGAGACAGGGCGAGGAGAAAGAAACAAAGAGACAAGACCCTTACCGGAGGAGAGTATCTTATTGGCGGGATCGGGTGGCGAAAGGAAGTAGGCATCGCGTTTCCATCCCACGCATCCTGTCAAGTGGATTCCTCCGGCGCACAAAGGAGATCGGACGAATAATTGGCTCCTCGGATACACAGGTAGGGCAGTCCTTTTGAGCCCTGAGAACCTTGCGCAAGGACCATTGTGCGAGGGACACTCGATACATTCGGATCGAGTGGCTCGACACCGGCAAAGGAGCGTGGCCGTAGTTTGGAAAAGCGGGACATCTCCGATTTAGATGAAACCCGGCGTACGTTTTTTCCCCTCCCCGATAGAAGCTGGAAAATCTCTGAAAGGATTCTCGCGCGGTAGAAAACGTCGCCGTCCGGCAAACAAATTCCTGGAAACGCGCTCCCCGTGCGCGCGATGCATATTTTCATATCTCGAGAGCAGGAAAACGCGCGATATTCGAATCTCTCGCGATGTTAATTTCTCATCGCCAGGGATTTACGGTTATTCGCGAGCGCGCGAGTTTGCAGAACGATCTTGGACGAGTCTGCGGATCGTCGATGCCGTCTATGAATAATCTCGTAGCAAAAACGGGCGGCTTGAAAAAAAAAATACTCGAGCGGCGGCGCGACGGCAAGACGGCCAGCCACGAGATCACGCGAAACAGGTTCGCCGTTGCGAGGACGAGGAAACGCGAGTACCGAGAAACAAATAGCGTATCAACGTGGCGGAGCGCGCGACGTAACGAGAGGTCGCAAAAAAGCCAGACCGGAAGCCGGGGTCCGTCCGAAGGGCGATCTCGGGCGCCCGCGCGCGATGTCCACCGACGGATATGCGACTTTTCGCCGACATTAATACTCGGCGCGGCGCACAGGAAACTTTCTGCCTGACTTAATTAATACCCGCGCTCGCGCGCGCGCCTTCCTTTTTGACGGCAGGGATTTAATTACTTTTTTACGTCGACTCGTAAATCATCTCGCAGGGCCCGCACGGCGACCGCCGTCGTCCTTCCTGCCGAGTCATAAAATAAAGAGCTTCGAGCAACGAGCCCTGGGTACACGTTGCCCGGCCACGCTCGCGAGAGCTGAAGGATGCACGCGCGAGTTTATCATCGTCAGATTATCTCTCGATATTTCGCGTGTGATCCGTAGCGCGACCTGTGCAGCGTGTCGCTGACACGGTTGTGCGTTTTTTCGAGCCGAGGGGCAGTTCGCGAAAATCGCAGCCAGAGGTGACACGGGTACCTGCATCGTCGCGCAGCGCGATAAAGCATTACTACTTAATTTTCATTTCAAAAAGTCGAAAAACCATCTTTATACTGTTATTGCGACAAATATTATCATATGCCTCGGTGGTTAAATTGGTGAGTCCTAGAGTGTAAGGAGGTCCAGGTTCAAGCCCTGGCTGAGGTAATATTTTTCGCAATAAATTTTCTGTATTATTAAAAATGCCAGGTGTATGATCGAGAAAACACTGACGTTGTTAATTATCGCTGGCGACATTGAAGAATTCCTATTAATTAATCTTTATTTATTAGAAATAATCAAGCTCTTTAGTCGACGTTAACCGGCTATGTACATGCTTCAGTGGTCGAATTGGTGAGACGCCCGTCTAGAGAGAAGGGAAGTCCAGGTTCACACTCTGGCTGAGGTTAATATTTTTCGCATAAAATTTTCTGTATTAACACACTGGCCGGTTAATGTCGACTAAAGAGCTTGATTATTGTTATCTATTACTGACAACTTAAAGAGATTGCTATGTTTTTATTTATTACGGTCTTGTAACGATTGACGACAATCACCTGAGAGAGAGAGAGAGGGGGGGGGGGACATCACCAACGTACAAAAAGTCACGGGCTATTTGTTTCTTCGAGTGGGCATATTCCTCAAATGTACAAAGGGTTTATCTCAAAGATTTTATCTCCGTCCTTTAATCTCCGATCAAGATCTCGACAAGACACGTATATTGCAAGACTCGTAATCGCGCGATATGACGTTGCGAAATGTCCGAGTTTTCTCCCTTCTCGGCGTTGTCACATTCAACGCTGATCACTTAAGCCTCGTGGTACGCGTTAAAGGTTACCGCGCTCGTTTCAAGAACTTGCTAATTTGCATTTTATGCAAGCAGTTGATATTTTCAAAGCGTTTCTGCTTTTGCCTTTCCGCGTCGCCTTAATCTTCAGTATCTTAAGTACTTAATCATCAAATAATGTAGGAATTTATTACATAATAAAGTCTGAGGCGTTGCTGCGTCCTTTTTACCCGCGTTGATATTACTAACGTCAACATTGCTATTATTATAGAAATAATTGCACAAATAAATTTGACTTCTCGAACGGTTGTTTGATAAAAAAAAAGAGAAAAACTTAGAAATGAACGTGCCATTAATAATTAATGCATATTGCCTCGCAACGTAATATGTCAATCGATATTTTGATCGCGATTAGTACTCTTATCTTGATTATTGAACATACAAACAAATGATACGGTTCGCAAAATGTTGATTGCTATATCACTCTAATGCTCCAGATGTATCATGAATAACTAAATATCCGCGGTGCCACAGATAATAATCAACCTTCTCATTTATCACTTCTGCATGTTGGAATAAAAACGTCAACATATAATCATATATTAAATAAAGCGGCGTTTTTATACATCCACAGATAATCGAATCGTCTCGTTCTAGCAATTATAAATAATGGCGAAGTAATTTATTGCCAATGTCTAGTTGTACGCAGCATCCGCGCCAATTACATGAAATGTTTATCAACCATTCTGCACCGTTTTTCATCTCATAAGCAACTCGTTTATCCCCGCGAAACAATATTCCAAGACGAGGTCTAGCAGCGAATTGACGTAGGGAATCAAAGCTGATATTCGCCTTGACATCCGAGATAGCCCCAGCGTCGGCGAGCACAGAGTTGCCAAAGTGCGTCTTTAAGGAAATCTCAATGATCTTTTGTCGGAGGTGTCAAGGAATCGACGGTAGCGGCTAATCTTCGGCATCGCGCTCTACCTGCTGGCAGCGAGATCCCTATCCGGGATTAAAGGGGCGTCCCGATGAAATTGGAGAATTCGAACTTGCTCCGAAGTGCTCTAGCTCGGCCAAGAAACTGACCCGTCGCGACGGGGGGCTCCCTATACCAGTGTCAAAGAGCCTTTTTCACGAGTCATAGTGGCGATAGATACAAATTTGCAACGTCACACGTCGTGGTAGCAGATTTCGATGCGCGATACGGTGGAAAGCGGGCGAACGGATGAAAGGAGAGATAGAGTGTGAACGGAGACTGTGAACTCACCACCGGCCCGTGCACCGGCGACTTTGCGATAGACTGTAGCTGGGGATAGAGTTGACCAGCCGCCGCCGGGGTCATGTCGGTCAGCATCTCGACTCGGGGGTGTCGCAGCCGGTGACCCGCGGGGTACTCGCGCACCGCGGAGTCAAAGTCACACCGATCGAAAGGGGGTCCTCTCGCGAGTCCGCCGAGTCGTTCGTTCCCTTCTCCCGTTTACGCACTGCACTCGAGACGACGAGACCGCGATCGGCGGTGCGATCGCGCCTCAGACTCGTGTATCGGACGCGCTCCGGTGTCGTCCTCGCGGTGCCGACCGTCGCTCGGATTAAAAAACGACTCTCCGTGGGGAAAGGCCGGGATTACCGTGGTTCCCGTTCTTCGCCTCGTGACAGACTGCCGAGCGTCCGAACGACTTGGTCTCACCCAGACGGGGGATATTAGGTGGTAGGGACCGGCGTCCAGGACTCCGCGGCCCCCGGGCAAAAAAGGGGTCGGGTCCATGGGGCGGGGTCCCACCGGAATCCGTCACCGCCCATCACCGCCTACGTGCCCGTGCCTGCTTTCCTCGACTTGGTCTGTCCTCCCTCCCCGCGACCCGCGAGCGCCACCCCCACCGACGCGGCCTCCTCACCAGGGTGCCCTCACCGCCGCGTGCGCCGTCTCGGTCCCACCGCTCCGCTTCCTCCGGCTCGCTTCTCTGTCGCGCCCTCGATCCCCTCCGCAACCCCCGATAATTCAGCCGTGAAATGCGCGCGCAGCTCGTGGCCGCTGGAAGGAGACACGCGCGGCGACTTTGGTCCCTCTCGGCGTATAGAAGCGAGAAGAGGCTCTCTCCGACTGCGCGGCCCCTTCCTCCTCCTCCTCCTCCTCCTCCTCATCCTCCTCCTCCTCGCTTACCCTCCCGCTCGCGCTTCCCCTTTCGCCGCTTTACGTGACTCGAAGTCGTATCGTTTCGCGAGCTCGCGAGCTCGTAGTTTGACGTAACGGTATACCGCGCGCCTCGCGTCGTTATTTAAATACCGATACGCGCGACGCAGAATCGGAGCATCGGCTCTTCGCCTGTCCAAGATACGCGATTGAGAGCGACGATTGAAATCGGTGCCGACCGATCGACCGGGCCCTCCCCGCTCGGTGTCCGCTCGTGTGCGTGTCTCGGGTAAAGAGGTAAAAGGGATAAACGAAGATATCATGGGGGGGGGGGGGGCAGAGGACACATTAGACCCGCCACGCAATAGCGATCGCGTTTGACGACTTACGGCTCCGTAATCGCTTTTTAAATGTCCCAGGCTATTTGTCCGCCAGGAATTATTATCCAGGATTATCCTTAATGCGCCTCGCGCGTTCAGGAAATTACATGCAAATTGTTTTGTACCATTGCCTTTCCTACGACCATAGTCTTAATGGGTATTATTCCACGCGCGGCCGCTGATGCAATTAAGCAAAATATGCCAAGATTGAATTTTCTCTCGGTAGCTCGAGATAACTTTTTTTTTTTTAATTAATTGTAAGCTGCGACAGTATCCTTTGCTGTCGCATACTATGCATATAATATACACGCTACGTAGTAGCAAAGGTTACTGTCGTAGCTTACAATTAATGAAAAAGAAAAATGTTATCTCAGGCTACCGAGGGAAAATTCAGTCTCCGCATATGGCGTCCTGTTCAAATCATGCACGATCTTATATACTTTCGTACGATCTCTACGTCGCAGGTGCGTTTATATCTGTGTATTCGCGGAGACAAATGTATGCTATTCATGGAATTATAGTCCGTTGCTGTTGCAGTATCGAATTGAAATATGATATTTCAATATAATTTACGCGCCTCGGTGACAGTCACTTAATCTGACGGCGACATTACGGCCCATTTTATTTTTGCACGATATATTTATGGCACTCGACGGATCGCTCTATTCCGTGTGCATTCACGCATTAACTTGTTACAACATAATTTTACAAATGGGCCTCGTACTCGTGCAATTTCTCGCTCCGCGATACGACAGTTACGTGCGAGGAAATCGATACTAATATTTGATCGGCGATAACAGTCAACGGTGCCATTAATAATAATATTACAGAATTCTAAATCAATGATCATACGTGTACTGCACGCTGAAAAATAGATCGATATTTGTGTATTACAGTCGCGCTGTCGAGGATGAAAAAGTAAATTGCTGCAGTTTATATTAGCGAGAGACGGATTAATGGACATACTCGCGGAATATATGGCGCGACAATGTTTAACCTGGTTAAATGTCCTCATATATCTTTCGTATATCTCGCGAAACAAGATTTAGGATCTCGCAGCAACGTTCATCTCGACACCTGCGTAACCGTAGCTCCGCATCGAACGTCAATTATTACCCGCAAAAAAGAAAATGATCGTACGAGCTCGCAATTTACTCGTGCTGCTTTGATTTTGCGAAACAAGCTGCGTGCATGACGCAGGTAGGCGATGCAAACTCGAGAACGGCGGCCGGTTAAAATCACAAATATCACAAACTTGTGCGGGAGAACCTGCGGATACGCGCAAAAAGCTAATGCGACTTTAATCGTGCAGTTTGAATTTCAAATGTTTATCGGCTTCGTCTTGTAAAACGGATCAAGTACGAAGAGGTGTATTTCCAGTGGCGTAATCAGTTGCGGACAGACCATTTTTAGAATGTATTTCTGGGGAAACAGGAAATAAAATACGGATACGAACGTATAGAGAAGTTAGAGAGCAAAGTTTTCGTAGGGCCTGGTTAAAAATTGTATTCAAATAAGGAGAAAATAAAATCTAAGTATGTCTTGCGTCAACGATTCGAGAATCTGGGGAAACGAGAAATAAAATAAGGATACGAACATATAGAGAAGTTTAGAGAGCAAAGTCTTCGTAGGGTCTGGTTAGAAATTGTACTGAAATAAGGAGAAAATAAAATCTAGGTACATCTTGCGTCAACGATTCGAGAATTAAGGCGAGAGTAGTCATTAGGCTACCGCAAACTTTTTTCGTCACATGGCGAATGATACGAGCCGCTTTTATAGCGGTTTGCGTCGTGGCTGTGATTAAACCGTGCCTATAAAACCGCATCGCGAGAGGTAGCTAACCGGTTGCTGAGAATTTCATAATTGGCGTAATTTGGTGAGCCGGATTTCTCTTAAAATTTAACGCGACGGATCAAATGTACAAACGGCAATTTAATTGCCGCCGCCGAAGAGAGCCACTCGACTCGAGCTCGAGCTTGCGCGAGCTTACGAAATTTCCCCCCCGAGTGTCTCGGACACGCAGTTTTGGGGCACACCAGCGGCTTTTTTTTCCGCCGTGTGGCCGCGCGCGCCGGTTACCTTCCTACGCCAATGGGGCCGGTGGAGACGCGAGCGACGGGTCGAGGTCGCATTAGGATCTAATTTTCCATAATGGAAGAAGTCCGTGGCGTGGTACGGCGCCACTACGGCGAGGCGACCGGCTAATCGTGGTCCATTCATAACCATTCCCGGCCAGCCGGGCGCGCAACGAGCGGACGATCGCCGTGGTCGCCCAATCGAGATTGGCCCGGGCAATTTAGACGTAATATCTCATGGAGTTTCGGTGACAGGGCGGTCGCGAGGTCTGCTCAAAGAGAACGCCGTCGAGTTTGATGAGGAACTGCGGCTCGTCGAGCGTCTCGTGAAACGAAGGTCGCGAAGTGACTCCCTTGATGCGACCAACGAGACACTTGACTCGACAAAGAAATACACATTTTAATTTTCTTGCAGTCTCACGTGTATTGGACCTTTTGTCCCTGAATCGCAAGCAACGTATGCGCGGCCGATTACATTATCGTTAGCGGTTCTGCCCGAGTTTTCCTTTTTCTCTCGTTAATACGTCCTGCATTATGGAGTTAACCGTCTGGTCAGCGTGATTTCGTAATCATCGCATCAGCCGGATAATATTTACGTTAGACAGCACCTCCGAGATAGACGCGTCCGAGTAATCGATAGATGGACGACGCGAAGGTGAGAAAGGAATAGGTTCGCGGAACGAGGAGACGTTATCGGCCGACACCCGCTACGAATCCCGGCGGCGATTATGCGTACATCGCGTGCCACCGGCGCACAAAAGGTGCGACCCGCCCACGCCCTTGCGTATCGCGGAGCGGGATGGTGAATGGGCGGGGAGGGGGGGGGGGTGCGAAAAGGGATGTTTTACAATGAACGGAACCAAAGACGGGCGTTAACGCTCGCGGCAAGGACAAATGGCGTTGGGCCCGCGCGCGTGGAAGCGGTAGCTAGTAGCTATCGGGTTTCCTCGTTTTCAGATTCCCGCACGAGAGCAGTTTCTCGGGATTTATTGCGCCCGCGCGCACCGGATCACGATCGCGAGGATGAATCGTGCGTCCCGATATTCTTGGGGGATAGACAGCGACACAATTTAATTCGACACTAATGTATGGATATTCCGCGTTGTTGAGAAATGATTAGCGCCGATCGACTACCGATCGCATCGCCGTCCTCGATAGCGCGATAGATCGACATCGGATCTTTCGATGATGGATCGTTGATTGGCAGAGATGGGCCATGGGGTTGAAAGGGAAACGGGGCCTACGGGCTTGACGGGGGCGGATAATGACAGGGCGGTCTCGCGTAGCGAGGATGGTCCGCGCTGGGACCAGCTCGGCTCTTGCCTCTCACACGGCCATGTGGCCATCGAGAGATGCTGATGGACTAATAATTACCAAGGAACCAGCTCCGTGCGTGGCGGCTGGCAGCGTCGAAAATGAAGATTCACCTTACCAGTTGAAGCCCAGATCTCGTCTACTATCTGCTAACGGCGGGTGTAAGCCTTTGCCGAAACCGGGCCGAAGGACGCAGACGCGGGACGCTCATTGATGTGCCGACATCCGCCGTGGCGGCTCGTGACGCTTCTACAAATCTGCCGAGCAACGTTCCGCGTTTCGAAATGTCAAATTACAGGACAAAAGCGCGGGATAAACGAGGGAAAATTAATCTGAGAAAATGATCCCCCGAGCTGTAACATATCGTGGCGATAGATACCGAGTTCCGGCCGTTGCGAATTCCAATAATGAATACACGCGGCACTACTACGTATTGCGATAGCAGAATCGTGTGGTGGGCTTTTAAAGCCGAGCGCGGCGCGTCTCGCCGTGAAACAGGACATGGAGAAACTCGTCCGGGACTGATTTACGGATTCGTTGCCGTGGCCGATGCCGGGGCGTAAGTCGAGATTCTGTCTACAACGTGCTACGGGATAGAGAGACGCCCGACCGCCTGCCCGTCCCTTCGTCCGCTGACCAGATTTATGGGGTGTTCCACGGGTAGGAGAGGAGACAACCCCCCGTAATTCACGCGTCGCTCCTTTCCGCCGACCGCGAACGTTAGAGGAGCGACGCAAATAAGGCGCACCCCGGTTTCAGGAGGGAATCGATCGGAATAAATATCCTTCCTCGATTTATCCCGCTGCCCTCGATGCTATTGCCT